GGGCGACAGAGTGAGACTCCATCTCAAAAAACAAACAAAGAAACAAAAGAAAAACAGGATTTTTCAGGCAGTGAAACCACTCTGTATGAAACTGTTATGGGAGATCCATGTCATGACACATTTATTCAAAGAAACAGAACGTACAGCACCAGGAGTGACCCGAATTTAAACCATGGCTTCTGGGCGATTACCTGTCAATGTAGGTTGACCCACTGTGACAAATGCGCCACTCAGGTGTGTGATATTGATGGTGGGGGAGGCTGTGCATGTGTGCTGGTCAGGACTGTCTGGGAAATCTCTGTATTTTCTGCACAGTTTTTGTTTGAGACAGGATCTCTCTATTGCCAGATTGGAAGTGCAATCATGGCTCATTGCAGCCTCCACCTACTGGGTTCAATCTGTCCTCCTGCCTCAGCCTCCCAAGTAGTTGGGACAGAGGTGTGTGCCACCACATCCAGCTAATTTTTTTTTTTTTTTACGATGGAGTCTCACTCTGCCGCCCAGGCTGGAGTGCAGAGGCGTGATCTTGGCTCACTGCAACTTCTGTCAACCAGATTCAAGCAATTCTCCAGCCTCAGCTTCCTGTGTAGCTGGGATTACAGGTGTCACCACTATGCCCAGCTAATTTGTGTATTTTTAGTAGAGACAGGGTTTCACCATGTTGGCCAGGCTAGTCTCAAACTCTTGACCTCAGGTGACCCTCTGGCCTCAGCCTCCCAATGTGCTGAGATTATAGGTGTTAGCCACTAGGCCCAGCCCTTTCTACTCAATTTGGCAGTGAACCTAAACTGCCCTAAAAAACGAAGTCTGTGTTTGTCTTTTTTACAGACAGGGTCTCGCTCTGTTGCCCAGGACTGCAGTGCGTGATCAGAGCTCGCTGTAACCTCTGACACCTGTGCTCAAGTGATGTGCCTGCCTCAGCCTCTCAAAGTGTTGGGATTACAGGCATGAGCCACGTTGCCCAGCCCTCTTTCTTTCTTTTCTTTTTCTTTCTCTCTCTCGCTCTTCCCTCCCTTCCTCCCTCCCTTTATTTGTCTGTTTTTTAATTTTAGAGACAGGATCTTGCTATGTTGCCTAGGCTTGTCTAGAATTCCTGGCTTCTAGTCATCCTCCTGTCTTGGCCTCCCAAGTAGCTGGGATTATGGGCGTGAGCCAACGTGCTTGGCCATGGATGAATTTTCATAAAGTGAACGCACCCATGTACCCAGACTGAGGAACAGAAGTTTACCAGATCCTAGAATCCCACCTTGTGCCCCTCCTGGTCATGGCCTTCCCCCTGCCCATCCTAGGGTCCCCACTTGTTTGACTATTTATTTGTTTTTTTTTTTTTTTTTTTTTTTTGAGACGGAGTTTCACTCATGTCACCTAGGCTAGAGTGCAATGGCGCGATCTCGGCTCACCACACTCTCCGCCTCCTGGGTTCAGGCAATTCTCCTGCCTCAGCCTCCTGAGTAGCTGGGATTACAGGCACGCACCACCATGCCCAGCTAATTTTTTTTGTATTTTTAGTAGAGACGGGGTTTCACCATGTTGACCAGGATGGTCTCGATCTCTTGACCTCGTGATCCACCCGCCTCGGCCTCCCAAAGTGCTGGGATTACAGGCTTGAGCCACCGCGCCGGGCCTTATTTATTTATTTGTTGAGATGGAGTCTGGCTCTGTCGCCCAGGCTACACTGCAGTGGCGCGATCTCGGCTCACTGCAGCCTCCACCTTTCAGGTTCAAGCGATTTTTGTGCTTCAGCCTCCTGAGTAGCTGGGATTACAGGTGTTTACCACCACGCCGGGCTAAGTTTTGTATTTTTAGTAGAGATAGGGTTTCACCATGGCCAGGCTGGTTGTGAACTCCTGACCTCAAGTGACCCGCCCGCCCCAGCCTCCCAAAGTGCTGGGATTACAGGCATGAGCCACTGTACCTGGCCTTGACTGTTTAATAAACAGCTTAACTGAGTGAGTCATAATTCAAACACCATAGGGCTCCCCCATTGAAAGCACACAATTCAATGATTTTTAGTATATTTACAGACTTGTGCAACTATGACCACCATCAATTTCAGCACATTTTCGTCATCTCAAAAAGAAACCCCTGTCAATATATGAACTGTCTATTCCCCACCCCTACCCCTGGCAACCCCCAACCTACTTCCTGTGTCTAGGGACTTGCTTACTCAGGACATTTTATACAGATGGCATCACACAACATGTGGCTTTTGTGCCTGGCTTCCTTCTCTTAGCATGTTTTCAGGGTTCCTCTGTGTTGTGGCAGGCATCAAGATTTCATTCCTGCTGATGACTGAACAGTTGTCAACTGTATAGATACACAACATTTTCTTTATGCTTTCATCACTTGATGGATATCTGAGCTGTTTCTACCTTTTGCTTATTAGGAGTAATACTGCAATAAACCTTACTTTGTCACCCAAGCTGGAGTGCAGTGGCACAATCACGAATCACTGCAGCCTCGATCTCCTGGGCTCAAGGAATCCTCCCACCTCAGTCTCCCCAGGAGCTGGGACTACAGGTGGGTGCTACTACTCCTAGCTAATTAAAAATTTTTTTTTTTTTTTTGTAGAGAAGGGGTCCTACTCTATTGTCCATGCTGGTCTTGAACTCCTGAACTTAAGAGATCCTCCTGCCTCCTGCCGGGTGTGAGCCACCATGCCCAGCCCAACAATTAAATATTTTTAAAATTTATTTTTAACTTTTTTTTTTTTTTTTTTTTGAGACAGGGACTCGCTGTCACCCAGGTGGGAGTGCAGTGGCATGATCTCGGCACACTGCACCCTCCACTTCCTGGGTTCAAGCGATTCTCCTGCTTCAGCCTTCCAAATAGCTGGGATTACAGGCGCCCATCACCACGATGGGCTACTTTTTGTGTTTTTAGTAGAGATGGGGGTTTTACCATGTTGGCCAAGCAGGTCTTGAACTCTTGAGCTCAAGTGATCCACCTACCTTGGCCTCCCAAAGTACTGGGATTACAGATGTGAGCCACTGTGCCTGGCATTGACTTTTTTTTTTTTTTTTTGAGACGAAGTCTTGCTCTGTTGCCCAAGCTGGAGTGCAGTGGCGCAATCTTGGCTCACTGCAACTTCCACCTCCTGAGTTCAAGCAATTCTCCTGCCTCAGCCTCCCAACTAGCTGGGACTACAGGCACATGCCATCATGCTCTGCTAATTTTTGTATTTTTAGTAGAGACAGGGTTTCACTATGTTGGCCAAGCTGGTCTTGAAATCCTGACCTTATGATCTGCCTGACTTGGGCTCCCAAAGTGCTCGGATTACAGGCATGAGCTGCCACGCCCTGCATAGCCTTGACTTTTTAATAAACAGCTTAACTGAGTCATAATTCACACAACATACAATTCACCCACTGAAAGCACACAATTCAATGATTTTTAGCATACTCAGACTTGTTAAACTATTACCACCATCAATTGCAGCACATTTTCATCTTTTCAAGAAAAACCCCTGTACCTTTTAAGTATCAACCATCTATCCCCCTCCACTACCCCCAGCCTCTAGCAACCCCTAACCTACTTCCTGTCTCTAGGGATTTGCCTATTCAAGACATTTTTTTTTTCTTTGAGACCAAGTTTCCCTCTTGTTGCTCAAGCTGGAGTGCATTGGAGCAATCTTGGCTCACTGCAACCTCCGCCTCTCGGGTTCAAGCGATTCTCCTGCCTCAGCCTTTCAAATAGCTGGGATTGTAGGTGCTCACCACCATGCCCGGCTAATTTTCTGTATTTTTAGTAGAGCTGGAATTTCACTATGTTAGCCAGACTGGTCTTAAACTCCTGAACTCAGGTGATCCACCCATCTCGGCCTCCTAAAGTACTGGGATTACAGGTGTGAGCCACAGTGCCAGGCCCTATTTGGAACATTTTATACAGACGGAGTCCACAATGTGTGGCCTTTTGTTTCTGACTTTTTAGCATGTTGTTAAGGTTCCTCTGTGTTGTGGTACGCATCAAGATTTCACTCCTGTTGACCACCAAATATTTGTCTACTGTGTAGATAGACACACAACATTTTGTTTACCCTTTCATCACTTAATGGACATCTGAGCTGTTTCTACCTTTTGGCTATTATGAGCAATACTGCTATAAACTTTACTCTGTTGCCCAGGCCGGAGTGCAGTGCACAATCACAGATCACTGCAGCCTCGATCTCCCGGGCTCAAGGGATCCTCCCACCTCAGCCTCCTCAGGAGCTGGGACTACAGGTGGGTGCTACTACTCCTGGCTAATTAAAAATATATATATTTTTGTCGAGAAGGGGTCCTACTCTGTTGTCCAGGCTGCTGTTGAATTCCTGGGCTTAAGAGATCCTCCTGCCTCAGCTTCCCAAAGTGCTGGGATTCCAGGCGTGAGCCACCACGCCCAGCCCAAGTGAATTATTTATTTTTATTTTTTTATTTTTTTGATATGGAAACTGGCTGTCGCCTCTCTGTGCCTCAGTTTCCTCTCCTGTAAAACAGAAGTAACATCATTTACCCCAAAAAACAGAGGACTCAAGGAAGGCTGGAAGTGAAACAAGAAAAGAGAAAAAACCCAACATCCCAAACGGGAAAAAACTCGTTTTCCTGGTGTGTTTGTGTGTGTGTGTGTGTGTGTGTGTGTGCGCGCGCGCGCGCATGTTTTCTTTCCTTTTTCCTCCTGTTGTTTGCTTGTTTTCTTCTTTCTTTTCATTCCTTCATCTCCGTTATGCTAAAAGTGACGCACCCCGGGCTTATCAGGCTTCCGAAGCCAAAGGCAGGTGGGGGTTGCACCTGGCTCGCGTGGTGACTGGAACGAAGTGCACGGGCGTAGGGACCCAATTCCACCAGCTTTCAGGGGCGTTTTCTGCAGGTGGGTGCAGCCCAACCCCGCACAGCCCGCGATCTGCGCCCTGCGATCCCGCCAGTCGCCGGCGCGGACACAAAGGTCCTGTCCGCTCCACTCCCGCCCGCCCCGCCCCTACTTTCCTGGGTTCCCTCCTGTAGCTCCATTGGTCGGGAGCTCCTGGGGGCGGGGCCTCGGTGCCCCACCCGGGCCAGCGGGCCACGCCCCTTCCCCAGCTCCGTGCTCTCAGTCAGAGCGAAGCGGCCGGCGGAGCAGAGCGGACCTCAAGGTAGGGAGCTCTTCTCGGGGACTCCAGGAGGGGCGTGGTGGGCGCCCCCGGCTGGAGGAGCCGCAAGGCTGGAGCCTCGGCCTTCTCTGCCGCTGCCTCCCCCATCGTCCCGCAGTCTGCAGGGTCGTTTAGCTCCGCAGCGGGCGGGGGTCTCCGGGCTGGGCTTCTCTGGGCTTGTTTGGGGAACGCGGGTTGCTCCTCCTTAGGGCAAGGGGTGGGTGTGGCAGCCCTTGGAGGGATTCGCGGCGGACGTCGGGTAGCGCTTCCCGCCAGGCCACCTGTTCTCTGTTAGCTGGGGGAGTTCTCCCCGCCCTCCCCGCCGCTCTTGCCAGCAGGCAGGAGCCGTGGACGGGGGTCTCGAGGGGCAGTGGGTGAGGCGCGGGGGGCGCGGCACGCGGGAAGCGGAGCCAGTCCCGCCAGGCCTGGCCGCGCCAGCTGTGGCTCGAGGTTGGGACGGCGGCCAGGCCCGGCGGGGGAGGTGGGGAGCCGTCCTGGCGCCGCGCGATTAGCCGCTTCCGCGGGAGGAGGAGCCGCCGGGCGCGCTTGCTCCGGGTGTTTGCGCCTGGGTGGGTGGGCCTCGGCGCTGGAGAGAAACTTCACCCGCGCCCACATGCCCCCTTTCCGCCGACTGCGCTGGCGGCCCAGGTTTGCAGGCCGGAAATGTAACGTTCTTTTTTGATTTTTAAAAAGGAAGGCTCCGGCCCTACGGTTTTCTGGGGTTGGAGTGGATGTGTGTGCTGGGGAGGCGGAGACGTCCCGCTCCAGGCAGGGCCTCAGGTCTCGTAGGTAGGGAAATCGCACTGCAAAATAGGAGGCGTCTTGGAGCCTCAGTTTCCCAATCTGCATACTGGGGCTCTGACTTTTCGTGACGTAAGGGGGTGTGTAAGAATAAAAGGAGGCGGCTAGACACGTAAGCTATTTTTTTTTTTTTTTTTTTTGAGACGTAGTCTCGCTCTGTCGCCAGGCTGTAGTGCAGTGGAGTGATCTCAGCTTACTGCAGCCTCCGCCTCCTGGGTTCAAGCAATTTTGCCTCAGCCTCCCGAGTAGCTGGGATTACAGGCGCGCTCCACCACGCCCGGCTAATTTTTGTATTTTTTGTAGAGACGGGGTTTCACCCTGTTGGCCAGGATGGTCTCGATTTCTTGACCTCGTGATCCGCCCGCCTCGGCCTGCCAAAATGTTGAGCTGGGATTACAGGCGTGAGCCCTCGCGTCCTGCGCCACTATGCTTTTTTGATTTGCTTTTTAATATTTCTCAGTCTCTCTGTGCCCAGTCTTGCCCCTCTCGTTTGCTCCCCATGCTGAAGCCAGAGCGAACTTGTAAAACCAATCCGCTCAGATCAACCCTCCACCTCCCCCGCCGCCGCTGAAAATCGTCCACTGAAGTGCCATTGTCGTCTAAGTCCCGACTTCTCAGCAGGGCTCCCTGTTATCTTCAGCCATTTCCTTGTCCAGCCGCTCTCTGCCTCTGTACTCCCTCTCTCCGGGCCTTTGGCGCTCCTCTGGGCTTGGAGTCCTCCTTGGATACCCCACAGCCCTCCGCACTCCCTGGGTGGCATCGGTGATGACCGTGGGTTCTCGTTACTGGTCCCTCCAGGGCAAGAAAGAGTCGCAGATCCCGGCTCAGAGTAGATGCTTTGGAATTCAAATGAGCTGAGCTAGGCCCTGCGTGGGGCCCTGGGGTGGGGTTGAGGGTGGTTGACGGCGGGTCCCCTAGGTGGGGGAACGGTCTTTGTTCCTCGGAGTGTCAAAGCCAGCGCATTTGGTTTCCGTTCCATCAGCAGGGACAGGAGTGGGAGGGAAGGGGATTTCAGATGGCCCAGGCCTGACAGTCCCACCGTCAGCCGCACAACTATTGTTGACTGAGCCCGCCGTGCGCCTGGCATTGTCGTGGCACCATCTGCACAACTTCCGCGACACAGCACCGTTGCTGTCCCCTTTGACAGAAGAGGAAACTCAGACGTGGGACGGTGCAGTTGCTTGGCAGGGGTCACAGAGGGAGTGGGGAGCAGTTAGGGCTGAATCTCAGGTGTGAGCCAAAGCCCCCCCCCACCCCCCCACCCCCGAGAATGTAGGGAAGGATGGAAAGATTGAATGGGGAAAGAGTGTAGAGTGGGGTTGCTGGTGAGAAGGAGGGCTTGGGCTTCCCCCGGGAGGAGCAGTCCAGGCTGAGAGCTGGGGCGGGAGCAGCGTCCCAGGTGGGTGGTGGCGGTGGGGTGACTGTTTCTCTGCTGGGCGGGGTCGCCCGACCGGTGGAGGCCTTCCAGGGGTGCTAATGAGAGCAGAGGCAGCGGCAATCTTAGACATTCCTTTGGGTTCTCGGTGTACTCCGCGGATTTCCGGCCCCTTCCCAGCACTGGGAAGCTCCTGAGGAGGAGGACGGAAGAGCTATTCCCAGCTGGCCTGGGCCTGGGAGGGGGCTCTGGGTGGACGTGGGCGTGGGGCCGCACCCTCCCCGCCCGCCTGTTTGCACTTCCCTGTGGCTGGTGCTGCTGGCCTTGGGTCCTTGGCCAGCGGAGGGCTGGCACCGGCCTCGCGGCCCCCTCCCTTTTGCCTCCATCCCTCCGCCTGAACTCTCCAACGTCCACCCCTTCCTGTCCCTCCCCCATCTCTCTCTCCACTCCTCGATTGCCAGACCCCGGCTCTCCCAGGAACAATAGAGGGGAATGTGGCTAGGCCAGCTCGAAGCTGCTGCGTCAATCTCTGGCTCGTTCTCGGTCTCTGTCGCTACTAGGGACCCTTCTATTTGGGCTCAGTTGACACGCTCCTCCTCTCGACCCACGTGCCCGCAGTTCTGCCAGGCTAGGGCTCAGCTGCGCTGGGGACAGGGATGGGTCAGCTCAGTGTCTGTGTCTGTTTACAGAGGAGGAACCCAGGTGCACTAAGGTAACTTCGTTACTCTTGTAGCGCCTCATCCCGGCCCCTGTCCAATTTCCCTTCCGCTTCTTGCACTCATAAGCCTTGGGCTGTGAGATGGGCTAGTACAGCCGGCCTACTGCTGTGTTCCCTGGGCCGGGGACAGCTGCCTTGCTGGGAGCTCCTTAGAAGTGTAGAATCTTGAGCCTGTAATCCCAGCACTTTCAGAGGCTGAAGTGGGAGGATTGCTTGAGCCTGAGAGGTCGAGACCAGCCTGGACAATATAGTGAGACCTTGTCTCTACAAAAAATAAAAAAATTAACTGGGTATGGTAGTACACGCCTGTAGTCCCAGCTACTTGGGAGGCTGTTGAGAGGATCCCTTGAGCCCAGGAGATTGAGATATAGTGAGCCATGATTGCACCACCACTGAACTCCAGCTTGGGTGACAAGGCAAGAACCTGTCCCTCCCACCCACCCCCCCCAAAAAAAAAAGAAAGAAAAAAGGGCCAGTCGTGGTGGCTCACGCCTGTCATCCCAGCACTTTGGGAGGCCAAGGTGGGTGGATCACGAGGTCAGGAGATTGAGACCATCCTAGTTCACACCGGGAAACTCCATCTCTACTAAAAATACAAAGAACTAGCTGGGCGTGGTGGCATATGCCTGTAGTCCCAGCTACCGGGGAGGCTGAGGTAGGGAAATCACTTGAACCTTTGAGGCAGAGGTTGCAGTGAGCCAAGATTGTACCACTGCACTCCAGCCTGGTTTACAGAGTGAGACTCCATGTCAACAAAAAAAAAAAAAAAAAAAGAAAAAGAAATGAAGACTCTTAGGCCCCACCCCACAGCTACTGAATTGCAGTCTGCCTTTGAACAAGGTTCCCAGAGATTCCTGACCACACTAAAGTAGAACTAGAAGCACTGCCTTAGACTTCTGTGCCTTCGTTTCCTCATCTGGAAAACGGGGATCTAAAAGTGCCTGCCCTGTTGGGTTGATGTTTAGATGCATGTAGTTGATGTTTGTAAACCCCCAACAGGGTGTGATGCTGAATCTGTGGACAGTGGCTGTAGGGTGTATGAAAGCACAGCTTGCCCCATCCCCATAGTGCTGGCCAGTATCCATCCCCCACGCCTGCCAGCAGTGGTCTTGCCCTGGGCTGGAAGCTGTCTCAACACGATGCCCGGCCCTGGCGTTCCCCAGTCAGCATCCCATGGAAGGCTCAAGACACCCTCCTTTTGCAGAGCAAGCTTGGAGATGTTCTTTTTTTTTTTTTGAGACGGAGTTTCACTCCTGTTACCCAGGCTGGAGTGCAATGGCGCGATCTCGGCTCACCGCAACCTCTGCCTCCTGGGTTCAGGCAATTCTCCTGCCTCAGCCTCCTGAGTAGCTGGGATTACAGGCACGTGCCACCATGCCCAGCTAATTTTTTGTAGTTTTAGTAGAGATGGGGTTTCACCATGTTGACCAGGATGGTCTCGATCTCTTGACCTCGTGATCCACCCGCCTCGGCCTCCCAAAGTGCTGGGATTACAGGCGTGAGCCACCGCGCCCGGCCTGGAGATGTTCTTGCTTTGCCAAGAATGAGGTGTCTGACTTGAACTCTTACCCCCTGCCTTCTGTCATCCTGTCTTCAATAAAGGGGCTGAAGCTGTCAAGAATGGAGTCTCTGGCTGGATGTGGTGGTTCATGCCTGTAATCCCAGCACTTTGGGAGGCTGAAATTGGTGGATCATCTGAGGTCAGGAGTTCCAGACCAGCTTGGCCAACATGGTGAAACCCCGCCTCTACTAAAAATACAAAAATTAGCTGGGCGTGCCTGTAGTCCCAGCTACTCAGAAGGCTAAGGCAGGAGAATTGCTTGAACCTGGGAGGTGGGGGGGTGCATTGGGCCAAGATCGTGCCACTGCACTCCATCCTGGGCAACAGAGTGAGATTGTCTCACAGAAAAATGAACGGAGTCTCTTTCAGTGAGCTCTCTGTCACTAGAGTGTAAATGGCTGATAGTGCTCTTTGTCAGGGCTCCCTCTCACTAGAGTACAGATGGCTGATGGCACTGCTAAAGCCCTCCTTGCAGTAAGCTCCTGGCTGCTTAACCCCTGCTGATGTGGGTGGTGGGCTTTCAGGCCAGGGGGGCAGGACACGGGGGA